GTCTGCAGTTATGTTCTTTCTGAGGAAATCAGGATTTTGACAAACTGCATCAGAATAAATAAAACTGGTTTTACCATGGACAAACTTTATTAAGTGTTGGTTTTTGTTTTTTTAAAACTGAGATGAAGTCGGATAAGGGAGGCAGGAGATCATAGTAAGCTTTGGAGTAGAGCAGATGTTTCTCATATGTCTGAGTCTTGAGAGGTTTAAAAATAGGTGCTGTGGTAAGACTCACTGGCATGTGTATAGATTCATGGCCTAGTATGATGACACAGATTGTCTTAATGGCACAGCATGATGCATTATGAGTGAGCACAGGCAAAGCTATCTTTATCAAATGTTTGAAAAGAAAATGCTTTTGCATTAAAGAAAAATTTTGAGAGGGGTAATTTTGAGAGTACTTGTAGGCATACTCAGTTATGAGCTATTACTTACTCATGTTCAAAAATTTATAATAGGCTTCCTGGTCACATGTGGGATCAGTAATGTTCAATGGTACTATTACAAACTCATTGTCCATGGCAGATCCTTGAGAAAGGTCTGGCTCTGACACATTCCTTTGTCAGTGGCAGAATGTGGGTAGCTAGCGTTAGTGTGGATCTGCTTTTATTTCTCTTTCTCTCTTTTGTTTCTCTTCCTTCCTAAAACTGAATATTAACAATAACAACAGCTCAACCTACCTCCAGTGCAAAGACAATTTTCAAGCAATATATGATAAAGATAGATATTATTGGATCAAAACCAAGCAACTTCTGGAGTCTTCATTACATATTGCATGTAAAAGGCTCTAGGGAAAAAAAAAAGAGGGGTTTGCATTCAACTATATGTAGAAGAACCCTATGAAAGAAAGAGAAACCTGACCTCAGAGATTATAAACCACATATCATGGTCAAAAATGGTTCAAAACTTTATCTAATCATCTTTTGAGTTGTGGGGATTGTGATTTTATACCATTATTGCAGTCACAGGAGGGAAAAAGGAAGAGAATTGTCTAGGACCAGAGTCCTGACACCACGCTAAGACTGTTCCAGGCTGTACTAATCAATTTTCTGGCCAGGACTTTTTTAATGCAAATAGTATAGGCATAATTTGGCTTTCATCAAAATCATAGGCTATATTCCTAGACCCCCTGGTATTTATGGAAGAATCTTTCTGCAGACTATGAAATTTAATACTCTTTATCTTGAATGCTACAGAGAGATATTGGGACTACTGTGAGAATCTATTGATATTTTTTCTTTTCAATAGTGCAGTGATGGCTGACAGACCCCTATGAATTACAGAAGGGTTTTTTAATTTATTAATAATCATTAGATAGAGAAGTTTTCCATGCTACCCAGCCTATACTTCTCAAAAGGAGAGCTGGAGCCTATCTCAAAATGATTGGGAGTGAACACTTCTCTTCCTGACTGTGCTTCTCGGTTTTTCCGTGTCTTCAGATCAGTGGATTTTTTTCCCTTTTCTCAGGTGTTCAATGCTGCTGAGAAGGGAATATTTTGTCATGAGAGCTTCCAGGCTCCAGGAACAGGGCTGTGCAAAAGGCTGGAAAAGGCTCCAACCAGCAGCCAACAAAGAAGCAATGTGTTTTTTGTCTCCCACTGTGTCCCTGCCAGCTCTCCAGTCCACACAGTCCTACCCAGGGTTGTCTCTGTCCCACCAGGCACCTGCCTGGGATGCAGTTTCCCTGCCTGCCAGACCCCAGGCAAGGACTCTGCTGTGCCTGCTGAGATTACAGCTACTCTAGACCCATGGAAGCCATAACTGTCTCTCCCAGCCACTGTTGATATGGCACTATGGAGATTTCACTTGCTACTGCTCCTGTTTGTTTTGTATGTATTCCTTGCTGATACTGGGACCAAGCTACGTTGGCTGTTGAAGTAAAGTTTAAGGTAGAAAAGTTATTTTATTTTTATTTAACAATTCAGAGGAAAGACAGGGGCATTTTGGAAGTTTCAAAATATAATGCTGATGATTGCTTTATATATAAAAAGAAAATACACATTCTGCCACCATTGATTGACTTAAAAAAAAAAAAAAAAGAGAAGATGACAGATTTAGATGGCATAGGACTAAAGAAGTTCAATAGCTGTCTTGATTTAATTCTCCATTGCCAAATTACAATTTGTTGTGCTTTGATCAGTGTAAAGAGTATGGAACATGGTTATTGACTTCATCCAGGCAAAGAGATATAAATATAAAATCTCCAGTATACAGATTAATATTTGTGCACCTCAGAAATGAGAGGAAGACCTTATTCAAGTCCTAGCATGATTCTGTGTGTCATATAAAGCGAGTAGAATTTGATCTGAAAAGAATAACTACTAAATAAACATTTAATTTATATAAAATAACAATCCTCAGTGTAGGAGTTAAAAATGGTTGAAATTCTGAAAGAAAGGAAGGAATAGAAAATAAATAGCAATTAGGAAGGAAGAGAACAGTACACTGAAAAAATAAATAAATAAAGTCAGAAGGAATATTTCAAGCTTGTGACTGCTTTCTTATCCTTTTATGCTGTTTGGCTATATCACACGGTATAAATAAGATTAAATGATATATTACAATTATGTGAAAATTTGTAGGCAGAAATAGGGCATGAGCTGCTGTAATTTCTATAGAACTACATCATTTTGCTCTGGATGTAAATTTAGTTAACTTTCTCCTAATTTTATCTACCAAGGCTAGCCATAAATATTTTTAAATTGAAGTACTTAAAATGTTTAAAAAGCTATTTTAAAATATATTGTTCCAGCAGTGTCTATTCTGTACCATTTGTACTCTATTTAATGACATATTGTAGGGTTTTAGGAGATAATAATCTGCAAAATGCAATAGTCAGTGTCCAGGAAGAAACTATTAAAGCATATAACTAATGAAAACAAAAACAACAAGTTACTGAGAACTAGACTTCAGAAAAATACCTTAAGGGTAGAAGCTATTACCCACTAGTATGTAATAAACTCCTCAGCAGATAGTGGCTTGGGGAGAAAAGGTCTCAGAATGATAGCATTGTGATAAAAATAAGTTGATGATTCCTCAAAATAAAAGAACTACTTTCACTTTTAAAGACTAACTGGAAGGGAAGTATCTTGAGGAAAAAAAATGCACACTGACCATTTCCAACCACCCATTTATAAAAAGAAAAACTTTATTTCTCAGCCTGTAGAAGCTATATACAAAGGCCTATTGGATTAAAAATCTTAGTGGATAAAAGGAAATAATCACCAGCTAGACCTGAGGAGAGGTTTTACAACTTAAATAGGCAAAGGCTTTGTACATTTACTGAATCCTGAGGGCAGAGATGGATTATTAAACTAGAGTAATCCGGGGGGGAGAATATATATATATATATATATATGTATTTGTTTGTTTATTTATTTATATTTTTATTATATATTCTTTGCATTTGTGCTGTGAAATGTAATATGACTTAGGGAAGATGCATGTGACTTAAACTTGGAAGAAAAAATACTGGTCTGATTAAAAAGGAGAAAAAGAGAGAGGAGAGGGAGATGCAGAAAGCATGTGTGTGTGTGTGTGTGTGTTTGCACATGTGTGTGTGCATGCACAGATTCACAGAATGGGTGAAGTTGAAAGGGACCACAGTGGATCATCTGGTCCAACCTCCCTGCTCAAGCAGGGTCGCCCTAGAGCACATTGCACAGGATTACATCCAGATGGTTCTTGAATATCTCCAGTGACGGAGACTCCACAACCTCTCTGAGCAATCTGTTCCAGTGCTTGGTCACTCACACACTAAAGTTCTTCCTCATATGCAGGTGGAACTTCCAGTGCATCAGTTCCTGCCTGTTGTCTCTTGTCCTATTGCTTGGCACCACTGAGAAGAGCCTGAATCCATCCTCTTGAAACCCTCCCTTCAGATACTGACACCCATTAATGAGGTCCCCTCTCAGTCACCGCTTCTCGAGGCTGAACAGGCCCAACTCGCTCAGCCTGTTCTCATAAGAGAGATGTTCGAGTCCCTTAATCATCATTGTTGCCCTCCACTGAACCTGCTACAGGAGCTCCATGTCTTTCTTGTACTGAGGAGGCCAGAAGTGGACACTTCTGTACCCTCAGTACCCCAGCTGAGGCCTCACCAAGGCTGAGTAGAGGGGCAGAACCACCTCCCTCGACCTGCTGGAAATGCTCTTCCTAATGCACCCTAGGATACCACTGGCCATCTTGGCCACAAGGACACACTGCTGCCTCATGGACAGCTTGTTGTCCACCAGGACCCTCCAGGTCCTTCTTCATAGAGCTGTTTTCAGCAGGTCAGACACCAGAAACACTGGTTCATGGGGTCATTCCTCCCTGGGGGCGGGACCCTGCACTTGCCCTTCTTGAATTTAAAAATAATCCACTCTGCTCATCCCTCCCACCTGTCAAGGCACACATGCACAAATTTATTTGAAAGCTGTTAAAGCTTTCCAAAGCAAGTGGGTCAGCTATAATGAAGTGCAGTAAGCTTTTGCTTTTTTGTAAAGGAAAAGAAAAAATCCTGCTGTCTTTCCATTTTCTTCTTTTTTCCACTATCACTTGCTTAGGTAATGAGGGCTTACTCTGATCAGAAGTATGTTGTATGTTCAAGGGTGTCATCGCTGTAAGAACAAAGGCATAAATATAGATAAGTTCAGGCTGGTGGAAAATTACATAAAATGACAAGCCAGAGTGAAAACTGGCTAAGGAAATCAGGGATAGGTTGTACTGGGTAAACATGGTGAGATGGAAACAATCAAGACAAAAACAACAACCCTCAAACCAAGGAGTAAGGCAACCTAGGAACCAGCAGCAAAGCATATTGCAAAGATATTGCAAACTATGACTCAAAGAGCTAAGTAAAAATATTTTTCTAATCACATCCAGAAAGAGATGTTTATATTAGAAAACAGTCAAAGTTGGCACTGAAATAGTTTCAACAATAGTTATTTAGTAAATTATATGTATTTTATTATAGTTTTATGACAGTTAATACTGATATGTCTAAGTAGTCTGTCTTACATTTATTATTCATTATATATTCTGTATAATTCCAAAGTACAGATTGCCAACATTTCAGGTAACGAAAATGGTATTCCCGTTTTGTACACTGGGCATGGCTTCCTACGCGTAACAGATAGGGAAATGTTATAACATATGTATATAATTCTGCCCAATGCAAGAAATACATGCAGCCATAGAACTATCCATTCACATAAAATGCTACTAATCATAACCAAGTCAGACTAACTAAACTAAACTAATATCTTTTACATATCTTTTACAGCTATGCACGCCAGTAGGCTTGAAAGCCATACTTGTTTGTTTTACATTATCTTGGGGCACATAAAATCACAGTATTTGGCAGCATGGGATAAGGGACATTAAATCAGCTTTTATGCTGTTGTTAAGAAACCCATAGAGGATGGGATTCAAGCAACAGGACATCATACCCAATAAATGGCATATGCAATATACTAATTTAAAATGTCTGTTAGAAATGAGAGTGGCATTAAAATCTGTCACAATGTGAAAAAGGTGAAGAGGCATCCAACTGAAACCAAAAACTAGGATTAGCACTGTCAGTCTGCAAAAAACTCTCCTTGATCTTGTCTTAATTCTGACAATGGATCGGGATACTGTAATCATGTCCTGGATCTCTGTATTTTCTTCTGGTTTCATTTCAAAACAGATAGGAATCCCAGGGATGAATTTACTGGAGGAAAAGAGCTGACTTTTTTCTGTGCCAGAGGTTTCTGGGAGATCTCTTGAATGAGTATCCTGATGATGCCTTGAAATAGCTGGCATCACACTTGAAGTCTTCCTGCTATATCTTCTGTGGTGCTTTTTGCCAAAGGCACAGCTCCACCTGGAGTGCCCAGAGGACTGCACCTGTGTGCTAGTGCTCTTAGATGGATGAAGAGCTAGGTTTATCATCTCCTTTTCTTCAAACTTGTTTTCCTTGTTTGACAGTCTAGAACCTATGCTCCTGCAGACGCTCGTGTGACTAGCAGTTAAACACGCCAGTGGCAGTATGTACTGCATGAACAGTAAGGCTATTGTAAAGGCAATTCTATAGGAATCAGAAGGCCATGACTCGATACACAAGAGTCTGTTCTCCAGTGCCTCTAAATTCAGAGTTTTGCTGAGGTCCACAATTTTGTGGAAAACTGGCAGAGGGGAGCAAATTGTGAAGCCAAAGGCCCAAATGGTCACTATTAAGAAATAGCCTTGTTTTGCCGTTAGATTGCTAGAAAGGGGATATTTTATCATACGGTACCTGACTGCAGCAATGGATATTAACATCAAAGTTGAAACTAGAACTGATGCGCATTGGAGGAAGGGCATTACATGGCACATGACAGTGCCAAACATCCACTGATCAAGCAGGACGGATGTCAGTGTGAAAGGCGAACAGAACAGCACAACCAAGATGTCAGAAAAGGCCAAGTTACCTATGAGAATGTTTATTATCGTCTTCTGCACTTTAGTAGGGCCATTAGTATAAGCAGATTTCCCATAAAGCCAGCCAGACTTATAAGTGTGTACAGCCCAATAAGAAAGTACTGTATGTCATCAACACTACTCTTATAGTCTTCCCAGGCAGAAAAATTCTTTGTAGTAGCAGAGGTGTTCCTGGTAGGTGTCCTGTTGGTATGGTCTTTTAATCCTAAATCCATTTTACAGTCCTGCTTAGAACGAGAAAGGCATTAATTAGCATCTGAAGGAACAATGATATTGCTGTTAATCAGAATGTAAAGGAACATAAATTTACCTGGTGTCACCTCAATGCAAATAAATTAGTAGTCGGATTAGTCTACTGGGAGGCAGATCCTGTATAACTTCAGGTCAACATGAATTAGTTACGTAGGTTTTACCATGTGGTGTTCAGCATGCCTTGGCCTCCTACCCGGCTGCTCACATGGGAGAATGGCAATTTAAGGTTCTGCATTATGATGCTGGCTTTTAACTATGCTTTGCTATAGACTATATTGTCAGACTTTCCATGAGGGAACAGTTAGCTACAAAAGCAATTCATCTTGAGTTGGTGAGATTACTCATGTGCATAACAGCCCATCGATATGGGTAAGGAAATGACAGTCACCATCTGGGCACATGCCTAATCATTGCGTCACAGCAAATTATAATGAAGGCACCTGAAAATACATATGCTAATGACTGCACTAGCATTTCTTACCTTGCTAGTAGAGAACTAACACAAAATAAGTGAGAGCTTTCAAAAACGATCAGGAAATCCACTGTCAGTGATCCAAGATGGAATTCCTAATGTGGTGTATATAGAAACCATTTTCTATTAAGCGTTGAACATATTTTAACTGGTGCTCAAGCAGAAAGGAAAACTGCCTATAAAACATCTAAAGTAACTGGATGTAATACAAAGAGGACAGTGTTAATTGGAAGCAAACTCCACACAGCCATTTGAAAATTCAGTGAACCACTAATTATTCAGCACAGAAACATCGAACATTAAAACCTAACTCAGCACAAAGTTATACTGCCTACAGAATCTTCATGTATTAGTCTTCATTTTAGAACAAACAGAAAGACATGAGAATTTAGTTCAATCTTCAGTTTACCTTAAACACCAGCATGTACTAAAGTTTCAAAGTTCTCCAGAGTGCCAGTGCCCTGTACAAAATTGCTTAATGTTTAGAAATCTTATATAAGAGAAAACAGGAACATCTAAACAATACTAAAGCATATATAAATTGAGCAGAAGGCTAGATCTGTCACCTAAAAAAGGCAGGGCTCTTCAAGGCTCCTCTGTGAGTTGTATGGTGCTGACTTCTTCAAAGTGAAATAATGTTACTCAGCTTCTTCTACACATGCAGACGTGTTCCTTCCTTCACATTACGTGTGCTCCTACTGTCATGTGCCAAAGGGAAGCTCAAACCTTAAAACAACCTCAGAATATTCACTGACAGTGTGTTGTGATGTTGTGATGGGAAGGTTCCTCATGTAAAAGTAGGAATACTTATTTAAAAAAAAAAAAATCTTGCAAGTAATGTGTTGGAAAGAGGTGACAAGAAGTCAGCCTTGCCAGATTCTCTCAATCTTAAAGTGCTTTAAAATAGCTAAAATAGAAGTAAGAACTGGATATGTGAATTTAGATAACCTAAATTTTATAATTGTGTGCATACAAGCAGAGCAGCATTAATGCATATTATTTCTGTTCAATTTTTCCCAATCTTTAATGAAATGATGGGAAACCATATAATAGACAAACAATGCTATCTGAGACTACCTTTGCCTCTAGATCAACTTTAAAGAAGCAGATAAGAGGTTCTGTAAGCGATCTAATCTCTCTATGTTGATATTATCAGAAATTTTCATTTTGGTGGGCTTCTCTTTATACAAATATTAGCTAATGAGGGAAAGTTTTTTATTTATTTTTTCTGAGCTAATTTCTCTGAGTTGCTACTAACCAAAACCAGTATGATCTGCATACCACAATGACTTTCAAAATCTGCTGAAATTTCTTTCTTTTCCCTAAGTATGACTCTACATAACTTTTGTCTGAGGAACCCCCCCGCAGAGCTTTGCCCTGGATAAGATACATCTCCATACCTCAGGCTTATAGCACTATGTCCCTTGTTATGTCACACTTCTATAATTTTTTTTCTCTTTGTTCAACATGAAGGAATGGTGGATTTTGCTGACTGATGATTTTGCAGATTTCAGTGTGTTTAGGCCATCTCTAATCTGCACACTCTCTTTTGATTGATGAAAGCCATTTCAACTCTATGTTGCGGTTCAATATGAAACATTACCTCCCTAATATTTTCAGGGTGAACATTCTATTATCTTTGTTCCACGACACTACCCACTTAGCTGAGAAGTGTGTAGGAAAAAACTTTGCATAACTGAAGAGTTAATAAAGAAAAGCCATTAGTGTCATTCTGGGCAATTTTCTTTTTGCTTGGACACCTTCCTTTTCCAGTTTATATCTTGCACAGATTAAATGAGCTTTACTAATGGAACATCCCATTGCCTGATAGCAGGTTTGAACCATATCAAGAGTTATTTGAGAAAGGGAAATGAAACATTATTCAAGACCTGGATCTCTCCATATCTTAGTTACTAATCACCTGAGAGAAAGACTAATAGAGAAGGAAATCCAGTACCATCTTGAGATTCAAAAAAAACCCTCAGAAACTCTTACAATGCTCTTAAAGTGGTGATGACTCTGAAGAAATGAGCTTTTCATTTATTTTTTGTGCCTCCATAAGTAACTCTGTGCTAACAGCAATCATTCTGCGTAGTCTTCTATTTTAACTGATACTAGGTTGAAGGATGAACCTGTAAAAGAAGAAACAAACTGGTGTTACTGTTTCTCTACCAGAAACCCAGAGATTAGGGTTGCTTTTAGTGTATCTACAGGTATTTTCAGTAGCAGTTAAATTCCCACACATCATCACATTTGAAGGTCATATTGAGTAATAAAGATGCATACCAGTGTTTAAGTTATAATAGCAGCTATGTATGTGTGTACCAAAACTACAACTCCCTCTCTAGAGTTTTTGGTGATATTTGCTGTCATTGAAAAGGTTCATAAGCCATAGGTTCATCAGTGAATGGAGAAAAAGCAGGCATTTCTACTGGTAGAAAAAGCTCTCTATCTAGTTAGTCCATTCCATTTTAATTATGTGTTATGATCTGTAAAGAAATCTTTATCTTTTCATTAAGTTTTGCTTAGTTTTAATCAATGGATTCTATGAGGAGAATTGAAACAAATCTAGCGGTATCACTGTTATTTCTACCACTTTCAGCTTTGGGTGACTAAAAGTGAAAAGGAAGAGACTTTCAAGTCTGACTTTCAAGTCAGTCTGACGTTCAAGTCAGATGCATCATAATTATTTTATCTTCTATAAATTTATATTCCATACAGATAATGCTAAGACTAGGGCCAGAGAACAAAATTTAAGTGTTGTTATACTGTAACATATTCATTAAATGAATGCTAGATTTCTGTAGATTTCTACACCTCCACATGGAGCTCTTGCAGTATGGCTTTAGCAGAACTGCTCATTATGTTTTTAATATAATTATTTAAAAAAAAAAAGTGAATATGCTGGTTTTGCTGAAGAAGACATATTTTATTGAGAAACATCAACACGGAAGAGCTTAGTAGCCAAGCCTCTGAAGTCCAGCATGGGCTCTCCAGCTCCATCCCTTCTGAGCTATGGCTGCCTTCTGCTTGGGGTGCGAGATGAGAAGGTGCCATCTTCCCTATCACATGTCCTCATTTCCATGAGGAAGGAGCCCTGGAAGAAGTCACAACATGATCTCTTAGGGCTCTAACTGGACACTTGGGGCACCACAGAAGTCTGTAGTACACTGAAGCCCCTCCTGCACCATCTCTAATCACAGTTTCAGAGTGGCAGAAAGACAGAGGGGAAGGAATAACACTATAATCTGCTAATTTCAGCAGAGAACTACTGTGCTGACAAAATTTGCTTTGCAAAATGCCCAAAGATGACTTTATTTTCATTTTGGATGTGTAAAATGAAAGCAGACTTTTGTCCCCAAATTTCAAAAGATGCCAAGTGGATCTCTTGTCTCCGAGCGTCCTCTCCTGATCAAAAGAAACCAGTTGCTCTCAGCTTGAGTGCCACTGGCAATAAAGGTGTAAACAAGTGTTCCTCCTGCATAATTGATCTTCATTAGCATGCCACTGATTTCACAGGGCTATGTGCACTTACTGGCATTTATCTTCCTGCATTGTTTTAACAGCTGCCTCTACTTTGAGAGATTCACTCTCCCTCTTGACGGTTGGTCAAACCCAGTGCAGCACATGGGTGCAGATTTTAGGGAAATGGAGATTCATGAAAATCTTGCTGTGGGAAATAGAATTAAATAATATAGTCTCTTTTCAAAACCTTCTCCTCATATTTGAAGTATATTTCTAAACTGAATGCAACACAGTGTCAGAGTGCTCTTGCACCTGTTTTCAAGCTCAAATTTAGTCAGTCTGAAGGTACCTGATGGAGATTTTCAGCTGTCAGCTCCAAAGGTTGGATCACTTTCACCTCCTACATCAATCAGTCAAGCAAATGAGGTTCCCTTTTGGTGATCCTAGTCTGTGTACACTCCCAACTGTGCCCAGCTACACCTGTATGAGCTCATACCCCGTGAGCTTTACGTGGGTTTGCTTAGGTCTTCTTTAATTTCAACGGAATGCTTGAGACAGAAGGCTAGGCTGCAAAAGGCAGGAGAGACTTCAGTATTGTGGCAGGGCCCAAGGTGGATTTGAATATTTACTGTAAGACTCAATGCAGTTAACATTTAAGAGTACAGTAAAATGTATTTTATAACAGATGGTGTACCACGATCTTGAAAAATTTCAAATAACACCTCCTTAAATTACAATAATTTATGGTATACCTCAGTGTGACTCTGATTACTGTGATTCTTATTTTCATCAAAAGCATGCTTCAGCTGCAGTTGGTCTAGGGCCTGAGGTTGACAGGGAGAAATGAAACCATTTTTCAGGTGTAGCTGAGTTAGAAGTACCACATAACCCAAAATATGCTAATATTTTTACTATCTTGTAATTAATATCATTATTTCACTTAAAGCTATCACTTAAAATACAAAATCTATAAATGGCAATTTAGGAGAGTTAATAGGCCAGCTATTTCTCTAAATATTTAAAGGGAAATTTTCAAGAACACAAAAGTTAGACGGGTAGCCATCATCCTCTGAAAGCAATTGTTTTCTCAGGAAATGTTCCTTCTATTAGATGAGGTACTTACATTAAGGTTTATTCATGGCTAAGAGCTTATATCCTACAATATTAATACCTATTAACTCTGACTGGCTGGTCTTTGTATAGTCTAATCAGTTCCATCTTTGTAACAGGAAAATTAATCTTTATAGCTGTGAATGATTTATAGTCTTAGGGAGGAAGCAAAATGTGAAAATTACCTAGGAAATACAGCCTTTCTGCCTCCATAATACTGGAGTTATATCAAGACTGCATAGAAAAAGTCAGAGAAGGTCTTTAAACTTCTACACAGCTGTAAATAGTTAATAAGACAGGCTGTTACTGCCCGACTATGGAAGCTTAAGGAAAGCATTGAGCTGTGTTGTTACAACTTGAGAAATTATGCCCTCACATCATTAAAGACTGAGATAAATCTGAGACAAAATTTGAAACCACTCAAGTGTTGCATTCACAATACAAGCTAAAGATGAAAAGCTGCTGCTTCCGATGTTGTTCGTTACATGCAACAGCAAAAACTAGCCTGAGAACCTGGGAGAATTCAAAAGATTGAAATTACTTCAGAAGTCCAGAAAAATGGATTTCCATGCATGTTAATGGTATGCCTCTTTCTGTGCCTGACTGAAAGAAGAACTGCAACATTATCCGGGACACGAACAACACAACTTCCCGAAATATGCCAAAGCCAACTAGCAAGAATATATCTCGAGCTCCAAGTAAACGTTATGGAACGTAACGGGCCATTTACTGGTCAGAACAGAAAACTTGAAAGGCACGGCTACATTTTCTGCGAGGGAGCACAGCAGTTCTTGGCTCTCAGAGGCAAAGGCACCAAACCGGGGACAACTGCTATTTTTGCCCTCGCACAACTCGCTCGGCATCCGCTTTGCGCTGCGCGCCCGCCCCGCCCCGCGTCCGGAACCGCGCACCGCGCTAAGCCTGGAGCCCCGCGCTGCCCGCGACCGCCGAGATCCCCCCTCCCTGAGCCCCCTCCACCCAAGCGAATCCCCCTGTCCCGCGCAACTGCTGGCAAGGCGCTGCCCCGCCTAAACTTGCGCCAGCCAAGCCCAGCCCGCCGCGGCTCCGCGCCCGCCCCGCGTTACCTTCGCGCTGTCCCTCTGCGGGCGCCCCACGGGGCAGTAGGGGCGGTAGGGGCGGTGGGGGCGAGCCGGGCAGGGCAGGGCAGCCCCGGGCTGCGGTCACGGCTCCAGCCCGGGCGGGCACGGCGAGGCTCCGCCGGGGCGGGAGCAGAGGGAAGCGCGCAGCCCCCCGCCCGGCGGCGCACCTTACTCGGGCGCTGCGGAGGCGCCGGGTCTCGCCTGCGGCCGAGGGCCGCGCCCCGGGGCCGGCGCTGCCGCACTCGCCGCCCGCCCGGCGGGGCCGGGACCGGGGCTGGGGCTGGAGCCGCCGCGCTAGCGCATTTCGGGAGGCCGCTCCAGGCGGCCCAGGAGCCCGGTATTCCGGCGCTGCACGGTGTGACAATTAGAGTTTCCATGGAAATGCAGTGAGTCGGTAAATAAACCCCGCGCTCGCCGGTGCTTACGGGATGCTCTCAATGCCTCACCTGGCGCTCAGGACACGGCATTTTGCAAAGGTGAAACGCGCTGCGAGTCCCCGGGAAGCCGGAGCACAGACAGGCAATCACAGAGCGGTGACCTGAGCTCCCCTCGCTTCGGCTGGAGAGGAGCTCCGCAGGTGTTCATCCTGCTGCTCGAACACCCTTTGATTTTTATTTTAGAACAGGTGGGAGGCGATGGATTTCCCCCAAACAGTTTTCCTTTCCGAGTTGAGTAACTCGGTTCTTACAGAAGGAAAAATCTGAAGGGTGGTTTTAATTTTATCTGAACAATCAATGGGAAGGCAGAGCATTTCCTTAAGTGAGCAGTATTTTAGAGCATAAAAATTGTCAGGTGTGTCATAGCACAAAGCATGAAAAGACAAATTCTGCTGTTCTCACCGGCTGTTATCTTCTAGCACAAGAAGAGTCATTGATCATAGTCCTATTACAGAGCTACTGGAGAACTGAGTGACATGCAGGTCTGTGGGAGCACAAGTGGCAGAATCTGACACAAAAAAGTAATGACTTTCCCATTTGCCAAGGCACTACTTCGACAGTTGATATTAACACAGCACTGCAGAAAAGCTGTCAGTATAATTAACCTATGAGAGACTGTACCACACAAAAACAAAACAGCCAGATCAATCATATTGTTGAATAACCTTTGAAAAGTCCAGCTAGGTTCCTTATTTAATTTGGGTTAGAAAATACTCATTGAGTGATCAAGGAACAAATAACCTTAATCTTCAGCAGATGAGCTCAGGATGGCAAGGAATATTTCATCCTATCTTTCACTCGCTTCTGCATTATCCACCACCCACTTCTGGTGAATCACTGCATGTACAAGTGGAGCACAGGGAGCTGACAGTGGAAGTGACGCGCCGATCCATCTCATCATTTTAAGACAACTTTCCCGTTAGTCACAACAGAGAACAGAATTAATCCTTTTTAGGCCTGAGCAGCTGTTCTTAGCATTTTCGACCATCTTCCCACCTAGCACTGATGGTTTTGAAGCCTTTCACGCAAATATTTGATCTGAAGACAAAAACCCACTCTGGTTCCAACATGTGATGGAGGTGATTAAGGCTTTCTCCCAGGGTACCCACTTACCTGGGTGTCCCTTTTTCCAGCAGAGCTTCCCACATTTCTGGCTTCACTGCTTGAAGTGGAAGCTGCCTTCTGGAAACAGTGACTTTTTAGAGACACTATATCTTTCTATCAAAACTTTTGTCAGCAGACTGACATTGTCTTTAGAAAGAAATCCACATTTGCTGGTAGAGCTCACAGGAGGGAAATTAAGGTTTCTTACATTGCACAATTGTGATTTATGTGGGATACCATTGTACCTTCATAATGGTACAAACAGTGTACCTTCATGTTAGGCCATTTCTAAGATGGCCTAGTTCAGTTCACCTAGTACAGTTTCCCAAGCAGCCTCCAGAAATCATGTGCTTCTTATCAAGAGCAGTCAGTAACACAAGTATTCCTCCCTCAAAGCAATTTTCTCTAAGAATTAAATATCATATTTTTTTTGTTGATTGTCTTATTTCAGGTGGGTTCTTCAACCAGTAATGTATTGGCAGGTGTGGGCTTGTTTGTTTGTTTTCCCCACAGAGCTGTAAATAACACCAGATTTCTCTCGGCTGTTTTTGGACAATTCATCCCTGATACTTGCGCACATCAGAGGCTATTACTATTCAGACCATTATAATTTTTTCCTTTTTACTGTTCGTGTACCTCTCTCTTGCCAGTAATACTACTGAATAATAAAATTAGTCATCTAGAGATAGGAAAGGTCTAGAGGTACTGAATGTCAGAAGTGACAGCAGATCATAGTACAAGTTCCTTAGAAACCAGCCACCATGGGGTTGTTGAAATCATAGAGGAGTCCTTGAGGAAGTAAGAGATGGTGATGATGCAAGATACCTATTCTGGAGGAGCTGGGGAAGAAAAGTGGTGCATCAGAGAGAAAAGATTGAGATTCCTGAGTCAGAAGAACAAAACAGAAAATACAGCAGAGAACTCTGTGGTTATATGAATACAAATTAATTTTGGCATGTTTCTTACCACATTCCCATATGTATCTTTCTTTTGGGAGTATCATTCTAATATCTCAGAAATTTAGCCTCTAAAGGCTAACTGAAGACATGAAGACTCAAAGCTCCAGTGGAAGTCGATGAGAAAACCAAGAGTCTAAGCCACCTAATATCCAGTTCCACAGCATGAAGTTGATTGTCTTGTGTCAAAATTTGTCATGAGTCAAAGTCTAACGTTACTGTAAAGTCTGATACAAATGCAGCACCTATCCATGGGGCAAGACAGTGTAAATGGTAAGACATAGTTACTACAGAATTTGAGAGATTTTCTGAAATACATAAAAAACATTTCTGTAGGTCAAAATTTTTCACCGAACTCTTTATACTCAGCAAAAGTACTATTAAAATATTATTCAAAATACCACTAATCTCTGGCTTCTGTATGGCCCATCCCTTCCACAGTTCTTACCTTGCATAAAGCAGCAAACCTTGGACTATTGAAGTTATGGCAATGATTGAGCTGTCTTTGTGATGAAAGGCAGGACATCTGATGCTTAGCTTACTTCCAAGGGTGAGCCTATAATTAGTCATTTTTGTTGCCTAATGTGTCATCACAGTTTTTGGCTGATATTCTGCACATTGACCCATCTGGATGATCATGCTGAACTGTGGGACCTATTTCTACTTTATCTGAAGCCAGATGAGAGCTTATGTATGAGCATACATAAGTTTGAATCCTTAATGGACAGCACAGGGTGGGCACAGCACAAAACATGACTTAGTATTTTAGCCAGGTGAACATAATTTAGGTTATATCTGAAGCAGCCTTGTAATATTTCATGTGATCAGGATAGATTTGCACTGGTTAACTTGGCTGTATTATTGAAAATGGAACTGCAGCAGCGAGACTGTCAGTAGAGATTAAGCACATAACCTTTCATGACGCTCATTTGGGTTTGTGACATTAGCAGTCAAATGAAGTGTTGTTATGTTTGGTGTCAGATGCATTTGTGTCAGAATAAACATGCTCTTATCCAAACAGAGAATTTGCTGCTATTCAAATTGTACTCAACAGCGAAAGGCCTATTTAGTCTACTGATGACAGGCTTTTGCCCCAAGGAGCATGAGTTCCCTTATCTTTGAGTAATGTGAAATGCAAGTATTTCAATGGCCCTGATGTTCAGTACTAGAAAATGAAAACAATAAAAAATAAGGTTAAAAAACCCTTCAGATTGTTTCCATTCATTTTGGTAGTGGTGACTTCAGTTTGTTTTATACAGAATAGAAAGTACAAATGATTCTCCTACCTTGTGTATTTTAAGTTTTACAGAGCGATTGTTTTGCCTGAGCACATGACAATACATTGCAATGAAAGTGACAGCTCATTTTACAACACCTTTTCCATTTTTGAGAGTTGCAGTGAGAAAAAATTTTAATGGATTGATGTCTAGGTATATTTTTTCTACATTTTGTTCTCTTCTCAATGCTTTTACTTCAAAGCAATTCCATATTCGTTTACTCAGGCTGTTCTGTTTCCTTAGTTGAAATACTTGTGTTCTGTTCATTGTAAATTTTGCAGTGTCATGCCTTCACACAAATAAACATATACACACAAACAAACACAGTCATCCAGTCCAGGGTGCCTTTGATGTACTGAAGAATTCATTCCCTGGAAGAGGATAATCTTTAACACAATGGTTATCTTACTGCTCCAGTGTTCTCGTGTCCTGACAGTCATCACCACTAAAATTAAAGTTACTGAGAAATCATTTGACATCTTTGTAAGCTTGGAGCTCCAAGTGGAGACTCTCAGCTTGGTGTTGAGACTGAAGATGCGCAGAATAGCCAGGGCCTGCTAATGCCTGATTTTCTTACAGAGGATACCTGATGCTACGTGGCATTTGCTGCACAACATGTATTTTATATAGCTATAATGGGAAGTTTTAAAAGGGTCTATCTCTGTTTATTAGAATGATTATTTTTTACCGTGTTTAGTGCTCATATGTATGTGAAGTGCTTCAGAGAAGACTGACACAGCTCCAACAGATTCAGTCATCTGAGGTGGGCACACAGTAGTATGGCAAAGCAGAAAGCTTGTAGTAAGACTTGGGTTATAGCATGTGTGCATACATATGTATATACACTCATAAGTGTAGCACATGTTTGAAAACTCAATGACTGAGGCAGCCCTTTCCATTTCTCCACTGCACTGTTCAAAGCCTGACCTTGTATCTGTCTGCAGTGTGAATAACTGTGAATATTTGTTGTCATCGCTGTGAGTTCAGGTCACTGAGTGGCATGTAGGCTCTATATTTGATCTATTATAGGTAATTATTATATTTGCATAGTATAACAGAGGAATTGTGAGGTTTGTTTTGCCTGTATTTATGCGATGTTTGAAATTCTTGTATATACTAACCATTAAAAATGAAGTATTATGAATCACTTCATTTACTGCTCAAATGGAGATCCTCATCACTAATGACAAAATGGACAAGAAAGAAGATCATATCTATCTGAAAATTCAGAAATTTCTGTGGCAGAAACAATAGCATTTCACGAGGGGAGTAAATGAATGCCTCTGTGTTACACTAATCTATTTAAAATAGAGTAGAATGGT